TTACAGGAATCTTTTACCTGTAGAGTCATTTCTTTTTCTGAAAAAAACAAAATAAGTTATTTAGTCAGTATGCGAACAAGAGAAAAGCAAATAGTATATAAATTAATTAATTTATATTCTTTGTAAAAAAAAATAAAAAAAAATAGTGATATTTGAGGTTAAACATAAATTTAGTGTTAAAGTAGGAGTGGTGTATTATGCACATGTTGGTACATTGCAAGGCTGGAGTTTTACAAAACAAAGTTGGCTTGTCTCAAGAAAAAAGTTATCATATAATAGGAAAATTAGTTTTTAGGTCTTAAGTAAAACATTAGCATGTCAGAGAACAAAGAAAACAAATGTCAGGTCTCTGATTTCAAGAAAAAAAGTTGCTAGGTGTTAAAATAGTTTTCAGATCTGTGGTCTGATGAAAATACTTTCTCAGGTCTTAGGACTAAGCCTATGAGTTTTCAGGCCTTTGGAATAAACCTGTCAGCTCTCAAGTCACAGGAATACACTCATTTAGTTTTAGTGAAATCTTGTTCAACAAAGCAGATATTTAAGATTAACACTTTAGACAAAAGAGGAAAAAGAAGCAGAGACACAAACACTTAGTGCTGATCGTTGACTCAGGCTCAGTGAGCATTAGCATTCAGACAGAACCCTTACTTAAAAATAATTAAGAGTAAATAATGTGGTTTCAGCTGAAGACCTCTGTATCTCTACTCCCAGACCTGCAGGTCACAGGGTAAAGAGAGAGAGGAAGGGGTCGGCTGCTTAAGTAATCTCTGTAGCAGAGATGTGATGTCATGGGGGAGTCACTCTTGCTTACATCCTTTGATATTTCCCCCCAAATACCAGGCGTCATTTAGACATTTGTTTTTAGACAAAATATGGACTTTCTTTCTTGATTTACTCCTGAAATAGTTGAAAATAGCTGTGTTTGGTCAGTCTGATTTTGTCCCATTTTAGTCCAATAATGGACATTGATAAGATATTTAGAACTGGGTTTTCAGCATGTTTTCAACTATCTGAAAATTGCAGCTTCTCAGCTTTCACCTTTCAACCAACTATAGTCTCGTTTGGATGTAAATCATTTCATCTTTCCAATGGCTTTTCAACCAATTTGTGGTCATTTGGTTGATCTCCAACGAGACCTAAGTCTTTCGTCCTAAGACCTGACAACTTTTTTCGAACCCTGAAACTGTAATTTTATTTCCTGAGACCTGATGATGTCCTAAAACATCTACTGTAGGGTATGGTAGGTGTGAGTATTTATGGTGTTAGTTGGAGATATTTTAGCCAAATTGTCAAGAGTGGCAAAGTATTTAAGAGATTAATTTTGGTTGCAAGTTAACCAAAACTGGATAATTTCCATTTTAAACGATCCACACTCAGATAAGTAAATCAACAACAAATTAAAAGATTAATTATAACTGTGTAAGGGACAGACCCAAATTAATTTAAACCTCAGCATGTTTAAAATACATACAGAATTCTAATCACAAAAAGAAACATCTACATTTACATCATAACAACGCATTTTAACCAGTATGAATTTATGCAATACCATAAGGATAAATAAAAAAAACTTGCTTTCTTAAGCTTCTATTTAGTGACTCTTTTATAATTTTATAAACAAGATTTGTTACTAAAAAAAAATGGCTCGCTAAATTTTTAGCTCTTATTCCCTGTTATGTAAAACACTTCACCATATTATTTGAAGACTGTAGGTGTATGTACGAGTGTGTATTTTGGCCAAGAAGAAAACAATTATTTTTAAATTAAATCAGATTATTTTAATTATTATTACATTAGTGATCTAGAATTCATGGATAAACTGATTATTTTGTGAGTCTTATTACAATTTTAATATGTATTTCTAAAAAAGGAAAAATAACTTCTCTGTACATTTTTAAAATGCTCCAAGATTGAACTAATTTGCGCTGATTCGCATCTCTTTCCTTTCGTGTTGCACTGTGTTTTATGCGTTTGTATTATCATTATTGGGGGGGTTTTCGTGTTTTGTTTTAGCTCTTTTAGATGTTGAAATAAACTGATTTACAAAGTAAAAGTAATGTACAAGAAACCTCCCTTACATGTTAAAAGTCTTCTTGCCCAGGTTTCTATAAGTTTATTGTTTGTTTTTTTTAAAGCTGGAGGTTGAAAACTAACAAAAAACAGCTGTTACCTTTTGTGCAATCCTTTTTCTAAAAAAGAAAAGAGAAGTGCATTAACTCAGAGACTTAATTTACTGCAATGCATTTTATCTATTACAAACTCTAAGGCAAGGCAAGGCAAAGCAGCTTTATTTGTATAGCACATTTCAGCAACAGGGCAAATCAAA